TCTCTCTCTCTCTTTTTCACATATCATTAAATAAATAGGATTATTATTTAATTTTTAAATTCAAATTATATTTCGAAAGTTAATATGAGAGAAAAAAAAAAAAAGGCCCCGCGATTTATTGATAATTGATGATTTATTTAACGGGCTTTTTTCCTTTTTTTTTTTCAATAAATTAAGTAAACATTTTTCATTCAATCATTTGAATAGAATTTACATTTTAATCAAAAAATAAAACTTTTACAGCTCATCGGTGGCGCAACCATCCGAATTTCCGCCTTCACCAAATGCATGGGATCAATAATAACAGTGAAGGGAGGAAAAAAAAAAGAAAAAGGAGAGAGAGTAAACCTTATCATTGGAAAATATTGATCGATCATTAAAATTGAAAAATTGGATTAGTTAATTTTGTATTTTATTTTTTGATTTATATTAGAAATGATTCATTGATAATTATACTTTTACAATGTTGAAAAGTTTCCTTCATTAATTACTGCTAATTGTATTTGAAGTATTAGAAGAATATTAAAAATTGAAATGATATTATTGTGTTATATTTGCATAGAGCATTCTTATCAATTTCTAAATTTTTTTATTTTAATTAAATTGTATGAAAATCATTGATCAAAAAAAAAAAAAATAGGAATTGAAAATAATCATATGAAAATTCTAGGACACTATTTTTTTTCCCCCCCCCCCCCTATTTCAATTATTGTAAGATTAAAGAGTACCTGATTTTTTTTTTAATGTCAATTGCGCTTAATCCATTTGCGCATTATTGCATGCTCCAAATTACTCTCCATAAAACTATCTTTTTCTTTTTTTTTTTTTTTTGAGGATGTCTCAAGTCGTAAATGTATAGATGAATAAATTTCGAGGTCATTAATAACGAATTTATGGCTCAATAAAGAGAAAAAAAAATGTTAAATAGAATTTATACAGTAGTTTTGGAATAAATTGTCAACTACAATGTGACAATTAGAGGAGAGTGAAATTTTCTGTTTCTCATAAATGAAATTGAAAATGAATGAAAAATATAATTTAAATAGATTTAAAAATCATTATTTTTGACACAAATATCATTAGGTTCTTGTTGGCTTATATTAGCATAAAATGGAAGATAGTATATTAGGGTGACATTCTTTTCCTTTTTTCTTTTTTTTTTGCTCTTTGATAAGACTTGATAATTGCCCTTATTTTTAATAGGAAATGTAAGAAAGTTAATATATCATTTATTAATTATTGCTAATTAATTGATTCATAAATTGGTAATATTTCTAAAACAAATAAAATATATTACAATTATGAGGCAATTAAAAATTAAACAGAGATGCTCTATGCAATTTTAAATTTTGATAATATTTAATCAATATTTTGTGTTTATTTAATTATTTTCTCTTTCATCAACAACGGATGTTATTTCTTTTCATTTTATCTTTTTTTTTGAATTCTTTCTTTTTCTCATTCATTTTTATCTCAAAATTTGGTGATTTTCAATGCTTTATATACATATTTTTTCCCTTTTCTTTCTTTTCCTTTTCTTCTTTTCCTTTATAATATAATCATTATTTTTATTTTTATTTCTTTCACAAAATCTTTTATCCTTCATAAAATTATCATTTAAAAATTTCTTGAGAGATTCCTTTTTTTTTTCTCTCTTTCTCTCTCTCTCTCCCTTCCTCTCCCACTCTTTCTTCCTCTTTGTTCTTTATAATTTTAATTTAAAATAATTTTTTTTTTAAAAAAAATGTTGCATTTTATATTTTATTGAAATGACAAAAATAGGCAGTAATTTTTTTTTCTTTTTTGTCTTTCATTAGTTTTTTTTTTTTGATAACTGCCGAAATTTCTTCCTAAACTTTCAAATTATATTTGTATATTGTTGAGATATAATGCTGTATTGTTAAACCATTTTACCTCTCTTCTCATATTTTTCAAATGTGGGATTGTTCAATATTTGAAAGTATTGAATAATATTAAAAAAAAAAAAATCAATCATTCATATGCCAGCACAAATTATTGTAACCTTTGACATTTTAATGAAACTTGACAAATTTAAATTTTGCTACATATTTATGTGCCGATCTAATATATTTGTCATGTTTTATCACTGCCATTTTATATATCATATTTATTTTTCATGTAATTTTCTTTAAGCGCATATGTCCATTTTATATGTGTGCGCAAAAAAAAAAAAAAAAAAAAAGAAGGAAAGCAAAAAATAATTGTTAATTGAATTTTGAAAATAGGCTAAGAAATGCCATTTAGAGCTTTCTATAGTTAGTGATTTTTCTTTTTGTGGTCTTTCAAAATAAATTAAAATTTTTTTTTAAATCAAAAAAAATTTTTTTTATTTTAAATTTTAACAATATCGTTGCCCTTCCATAGTATTTCTTCTTTTTCTTTTTTTCTTTTTTTTCCCCCCATTACTATATCTTTACTTTTAACCTCTTTCTTGAATCTCTTGACCTTTTTTTTTTTTCTAGGGTATCAAAATTGCATTAAACTTTTGAAAAAGCATAATTTGTTTTCTTCTAGAATTTACATATTATTCGGTATCTTTTTGTAATTTAAAAATACCGGATAAATAGATCAATCATGTTGTTAGCTAATCCTGAAAAAAAAAAAATGAATCTCTCTTCCGTTTCTTCCTCATTTTTCTTTTCCTGTCATCTATCCGATTTTCCGTATCTCATCCGATTTTATGCTTATCCAGTTGCTAACGCAAAAGAATGTTCATTAATCCATTTTTACTACATGTACGATTTAGGTAATAAAGCTTTACTACGTCTTTTTTTTTTTTTTGTAAACACCTATGCATAGCCAGTACACACCAGTGGTGTATAGTACGAGTAAATTTTATGAAATTTAATGTCTTTTTTTTCTTTCCCCTTCCTCAATTTTTACCTGTTTTTAATTTTCCTGATTAATTTAATCAATTAATTAGTTGTACATTGAAGTATGCATTGTAATTTCAAGCAAAAAAAAAATTTCATTTCTCATCCTATCATCTTTAATAACCTCTTTGTAAGTAAACAAATGAAACGATATTTGTCTTTTTTTTTAAATTCTTTTGTCTATTTGTTTGTTTATATCGTATCGGAAATTTAAATTCAATACTGAATTTTTCGTTGAAATAAATAAATACTGAAATATTCTTTGCTTCAATTTTCACATTCACACATTATCAAAAGTTCCATATTAGCAAAATTTTTATTTTAAAATTTTAAACAATTAAAACAGAACCGGAAAAATGATTTATCATTCTTGAAAATATTAAACCATATGAAATATTTCGAAATTTAAACGATTAAAACAGAACCGGAAAAATGATTTATCATTCTTGAAAATATTAAACCTTATGAAATATTTCGAAATTTAAACGATTAAAACAGAACCGGAAAAATGATTTATCATTCTTGAAAATATTAAACCTTATGAAATATTTCGAAATTTAAACGATTAAAACAGAACCGGAAAAATGATTTATCATTCTTGAAAATATTAAACCATATGAAATATTTCGAAATTTAAACGATTAAAACAGAACCGGAAAAATGATTTATCATTCTTGAAAATATTAAACCTTATGAAATATTTCGAAATTT